GGTCGCCATGGAAACAAGCAGAGCCACTGAGAAGATTTACGCTGAATGGAGCGCACCCAGCTTGCATCAGATGCCCTGTGTGTCTAGAATTCCCTCCCAGGCTGTTAGAGCCACTTGGCAGGCCTGGCACCTCGCTCTTGCGAAGGGCCTCGGCCTTGGGCCCTTGGGACTGATGCAGGCAGCCTTGAAATGGCCTGTCTCACACGCAGGGACTCTGACCCCAGCCCCTGTGCCTCCATAGCACTGGGTTTAGACTCCCACCACCCCTCCCACCCAGCTTGGCCTCTCCAGAGGCTGGGTGTGGGCCACCTGACAGGCTGGCCACCCTAGGCTGTCTGGAGGGGCTTGAGCCCCGAGCAGGTACGGCCCCCAGGCCAAGGCCCAGCTCTTGGCCTGTTCCACCCCTTTTTCCAGACAGCAGTGCTCTGGGATGACGGCTAGGCACTGTCCCAGCTGCTTTTAGTGACACCCAAGTAATCCCCAGGGGAGCAGGGAGGTGGGTTTTGCACTTGGAATCCCTTGGCCAGAATACTTCTAGCTCCTGGGACACAGAGGCCCTGAAGCCACACCATGCTTCACTGGCCTGGCCCCTGCACCAGCATTTCCGATGTCCAGTGGGTGTTAGGGTTACCCTGGCAGGCACTCAGGATTCCTCCTTTCTTGGTGCAGGGGTAGGGGAGAAGGAGACAGGAACAGCTGCTTCCCTGTGACCTTTGGTTCTTGTCTCCACCCCCACCCCCAGCCAGGCTGCCTTCCTGAGGGAGGTCCCTGGGCCAGGCCACAGACCCTGTGAGGCTAAGGGCCATTCTCCTGCACATGACATCTCCTTGTCTAGGGTGGGGAAGTAAAGCTCAGGGTGGTAGGAGCTCTCCCTGCATGCTCCAGGCCAGGATACAAGTTTGCAGAGGGAAGCTGGGGAAAATGGCTTCTCTCAGAGCCCCCCATGGCCAGAGTCAGAGAAGTCCTGGGCCAAGGGGTTGAGGCCTCTTAGGTAGGAGATTCTGCAGGCCAGTGGACAGTTCAGAGGCCTGGACTAGGATCTGGTCCCAGCTCTGCTGAGGGTTTGCCCTGTGAACTTAGACAAGCCCCTCTCCTGGCTCTGGGTTTCTTCATTCGTAAATGAGCATTTGGACCAAATGGATGCTTGAGGCTCTGCCCAGCCCTCAAGGCCCTGGGTTCCCAGCGGTTCTTTGCAAGAACCTAGGAAGAGCTGTGTCACAGATATAGGCAGGGAGACGTCGGGCAGGGAAGGGGCCTCCAGAACAGCTGGGGGAGGGGTCAGATTGCAACGCTGGGCACAGAGGGACGGCTCACACCCTGGAGAGGAGGAAGAGGACAGTCACAGCCCTGGGAGGGGCAGGCAGCTGGAAGACAGCTTTGGGTTGCCTGACAGGCCTGCAAGCCGGAAGCAGCTGGGTCGGTTGTGGGGAGGGGGTTCTGCACCCCTTGCCCATCCCTCATTCCATGTGCTCAAGGCACCAGCAGGTCTCGGAGACTCTGGCCCCCTCGGGTTTCCAGGCCACTCCCCAGAGATTATCTCAGTGAGGCAGGAGGGGACCTCTGAAGAAAATCTGGGGCCACTTGCCAGTATTAGCCTGGTGACAGGTGCATGGGTGGGGTGGCAGGAGACAGGGCTGGCTTTGGGTTCTGGAATCTCATCTTCACTGCTGGCGGGGTGTCCCCAGTCACTGATTGCCCGAGGAGCATTGTAAACAGACCTCGAAGGGCCTGAGCAGCAGCCATGCCCACTGTGACAGGCAGGGAGAGGAGCCCTGGCCTACCCCCGTGGGACATGCTCCTCCCCACTTGCAAGATCTCAGGCCAGGAGGGATCCAGGAAGAGAGGCTGAGTCACGGAGGGCAGCGCTTGCCACCATGATCATCCAGAGAGTGCAGGGTATGGCCCACTCCTCCCCATCCCCGCGCCTCCCTGGCCACATCTGTGCACATCACCCAGGTTTGCTGCCCACTGCCGGCATCTCCATGGAAACCCCTAATCTCAGTCCTGCCTCTGGACCAGACGCCTGTGCTTGTCACTAGTGTTGAGGGGAATGGCACACAGACCCGCGAACGCCCAGCATCCAACGGCATACTCCAGTGTCCGCTCTGGCCTCACGTGTCCGGGCCTGCAGATCTCTCCCGCATCTCACCTACTCGCCTGGGGCAGCACCTGGTCACTGCCTGGGGCTAGAGCTGTAAGCTGCAGGGTGTCCCTCGGCCTCCCCAGAAGCCCAGGCGGTGACACCTGATAGTGCCGTTCCCAGGGAAGTTGCATACGGCAGCCAGAGTCCAGAATGCTGCCCCTAGAGTGGGCCCCACCTAGCTTCTCTTGATGTTTGTTGAATTAATGTTGCCTGAGGCCCAGGAAAGCAGCAGCCAAGGCACCATCCAAGGTGTCTTCAGATGGCACATCTTCAACAGGAAGGGAACAACACTGAGTAGGGGTGCAGGGGGCCACCTCTAAGCTTCCAGATGGCATCCTGACCATGGGGAGGGCCCCCACTGCCCTTGGTCCTGCCCCAGCAGCCAGGTGAATGGTCAGAGATGTCTGTCAGGGGCCAAGTTCATTGGTAAGGGTTTCCTTTAGGTGAAGCGCCATCGTGTTTCCCCCAAAATGTACTGAGCCACTGATGCACCCCAGGCCTCAAGCTGCTCAACCCTCGCCAGCCTCACCTCAGGGGGGCATAGTGGTCATAACCACAGTGGCTGCCCATGAGGTACCTAGGCTGGGGCTAGGCACCAGGCTAAGCTCTTATATGAACCACCCTCACCCCCTCACCGTGGAGTGGCCCCTGTGGCAGTCCCCTTCTATGGATGAGCAAACTGAGTCACGTGCCCAAGGCCAAATAGCTACGAAGTGGTTGTATCCAGGCTTCTCTAGCTCCTGTGCCCAGCTGCTTCTTGGAGCCTGTGAACTCACAGGGCCCTGGGATTCCCGTGAACGGCCCACAGCCTTCATGAGACCCCCTTACCAGAGCCACTAGGTCTCAGGGGCTAGAAGCAAATACTTCCCCAGCCCACACACATCTGTTTCCCAAGCCAGTGAGGCTAAAATGAAAGAGGAACAGACTCTTTCATGAGACTTTGCCGAAGGGATGGTTATAATGGGAAGGGACCCAAGGGGACCTGGTCCCCAGGAACAAGCTGAACAGGACTACTACGCCGCACAACTCTAGGGAGCATCAGGTACACTGTGGCTGTGCGCTGCACAACTTGTGCAGCTGTACAGAGCAACCGGGGAGGGTGGTCGCAGCAGGAGTTGTAGGAGCCGTCAGCACGCCCAGTGGTGAGACCAGCTCTCCTTCTCCAGGGACAGGGAATGACTGCAGGCCTCTGGACCCCAACACTCAATAAGAGATGTCCTGCCAAGCTGAAGGCCCAGTAGAGACTCTTCAGCAGTAGACAATCCCTGTTGTCTGCAGGCCTAGTCCTGCCCCCAGAGAAAGGGCCAGGCTGCCTCCTCCCCCTCCTCCCTGGACCCTGTTTCAGGCCCCAGCTGGCTTCCTGGCTGGCTGCTAGCCCTGGCTTTCACCCCAAAGGGAGCCAGTCGTAAACAGGAAATGCTTCCCGATGCGATGCCTGCTCTGGGCCCTGTCGTCAGCCCACAGACTGAAGGCCATATCCAAGCAGCAGTGTTGACTGGTCCCAGCAGCTGAGGGGGAGGGGATGCTCATGAGGCTCCCCTACTTTGGGGCTGTTGGGCAAGGGTTACCGGGCCTGAGGCAGACAGACTCGCCAAGGTTGAGCTCCATCAGCCTGTGACCCTGCCCTGACCCTCGCCCTCCTATGCCCAGCGCTGCCTGCCCCCAGCTCCCTGCCATGTATGCTGAGACTGATACTGAGCCCTTCTCCTTCTTCCCAGAGACAGCCCGCAGGCAGCTCCCAAGTCGCAGAAAGCGGATTCCCCCAGCATTGACTATGCAGAGTTGCTGCAGCACTTTGAGAAGGTCCAGAAGAAACACCTGGAAGTGAGGCACCAGCGGAGCGGGCGTGGGGACCACCTGGACCGGAGGGTTGTCCTCTGATGCCTGACTGGAGAAGGGCCCAAGGAGTGGCCCCACGGAGCATTTGGAGTCTTCGGGCTCCCTGAGGAGCTCGGAGACCTGCCTCAAGGGCAGGGCTGGGCCTGGCCACCAGCGCGGGGTTGGGGGGACAGAGGCTGTCCATCCAAGCTCCTCTCATAGCCCAGCCCCCTGGGCCCCCAGTGCTGTCAGCTGCACCCTGGCATTCAGACAGAGCTGGCTTCCCACCCGGGTGGGGCCAAAGCCTCAGACACCACCCATTCTCTGGAACTGGTCTCTTTCTAATATCCTCTTGTAAAAGAGCTTGACCTCTCCAGCCCACCAGAGCCCTGGCCTTGAGTGATGTGTGTACTTAGGAGTATGCATACCTGTCTGCAACTAGAGGCCAGCACAGAAGTCCATATGAATGACACACCCCCTGCCCCAATAAAGAAGTGACAGAAAACCTTCAACCTGCACCAGCTTGCTCCTTCCCACGGGCACCTGCTCCCTGCCTGATACTGCAGATGCTCCAGGACCTTCTTGCCTGCCCTGGAGTGCTGGACTCATGGTGGCCCCAGGGAATGCTGGCTGCACCTGGGAAGGCTGGTCACTGCACAGTCCCTGATGGGTGTGTCCTTGGGTCCCAGCTCTCACCTCTAGGATGCACCCCTTCCTGGAGACCACCAAGCACTGGCCTGGCCTGGAACCCTGAACCCTACCTTCCCAGGCACCTACTCTGACTTTTCCATCCAGATTCCCCCATAGTGATGCCCCATGTCCACATTGAACAAAACCAAATCTTGAGTTTCGGAATGAAAGGGCGCTCACTGCACGCTGCGCATCACAGGAAATGGAAGGGAAGGCCCAGCCAGGCCAGTGCAGGGAGGGAAGAGGCCTTCCAGGTGCCCACCCCCTTGATTTGGCTAAATAAGCTTCAATACACACCATCAGGCCAGAGCACCTGACTCCAGGCTTTGGGAAGCGTCTAATTGGCCTAATGAGCTCCCAGGTGGCTCTAGGGGTGGTCCCTGGAGTTTCGGAGAATGAGCTCTGCGAGCTTTTCCCCTCTGGGCCCCCGGCCCCCTGCGAGGCGAGGGTGGGTTTCCCTGCCTGGAGTCTCCAGGACGACAGGCCGTACTGGACCCGTCGTCCACGTGAACACGCGTGCGTCCCCACGCACGTGTACCCGGGCGTCGGGGACTGGGGACGGCAGCCCACCCCTGCTCAGCTGGTCCAACACCCGCCCCCACTGCCGAGTAAGCAGGTTGCCCGACCAGGTAACGACTACCCTAAAAGCTCAGCCTGGAGACCCTCGTGCGAGCGGCTTCGGCACCGCCTGAAAGAGCGGCCAAAGAGCTTTTGGAGGAGCGTCCGAA